GAAGTCCGACTGGACAAGCATCCAGAAGGGCAAATATCTCGCAAACACAACACTGAGCTGGCCCCATAATTACCTAACTCACTATGACCCCGTCCTTTAATCCCAGCCCAGTATATTAATATAGCGTATTTAAACTTTTAGTTGATCTAATTAACATATAGTTAAAACAATAAAGTGCCGAGTACAATAAAACACTAAATTAAGGCCCAATCCCAATACCCCCACTTAACCCTATCCCTTAGCCCGACCCTTCCTATTTCATGGTCCTATTTTGCGTGTACCCGTGTAGGGTAGTGTTGTCCCATTTCTTTTTAGCAGCGAGGGGTAGTGATGTTCAGCCCTCAAGATAGCCCTTGAAACAGAGATTTTTCAGATACTGACTCAAAACCGAGTGAAAGAAGAAAATTCCCACAATGCATTGCAATACACAAGAAAAGAAAAGATGGCTAGCAGTGTGGGGAAAGAAGCTCATAAATGTAAGTACATCTTTATAAATACGCTTGCAAAAAAACCAAATTTTAGCGGAATATCTTAGTTTAATGTAAGTGAAACGGCGTATGAGGATTAATTTTTCAAAAACAATTTTCTGAAAATCGCTAATTCTGTGCGTAGAGATAGAGCAGTATTTCTGTAGTATTTATAGAGAAAGAACTGAGCAGGGGTGAGTTTCACAAAACTTAAGAACGTATTTATTCAGAGAGAGAGCATTCAAACTCCTTTTTATGTAGTTTTTACACTTTTGGGAAACTCACCCCCGATTGTTTTCTGTGTTTCGTGCAATAGTCTTCTGCATTATTCTACATCGTGGAATATGTAAAAGACATTGTTCCTGACATGTTGTTTATGCAACATAAAGATATTGTTTATGCAAAACGTGTGCATGTTTTATAGAAATATTGCATGCAATATGCTTCATTTTATATCTGCGTGCCATTGCCAAAGGAATGCTAATCCACAAATTGACAGTGTCATAATCATGTTGTAATATTCTAGGGGCATGTCAGTGGTATAATCATGTTGTAATGTTAAAGTGACTTGTCTGTGTTATAAGCATGTTGTACTATTCCAAGGACTCCCGAGCAAACCAGGCAGCTCATAAAGTTCAGTGCACATAATGAAGAGCAGTTCACCAAAAAAAAAATATGCTGCTAAACAGCTATGGGAGTGAGTCCACCATCCGGCGGCTCCGGGCAGGAAAGCGGTGCAACATCAACACTATTTATGGTGGGGATGGGGTGCTGCTGACCTCAACCCGGGACGTTTTGGGTCGATGGAAGGAGTACTTCGAAGACCACCTCAATCCCACCGACAGAGGGTGTGCTCCAACTATAGGGGGATCATACTCTTCATACTCTTCAGCCTCCCTGGTAAGGTCTATTCGGGGGTTCTGGAGAGGAGGGTCCACCGGAATGTCAAACCTCGGATTCAGGAGGAGCAGTGTGGTTTTCGCCCCGGCCGTGGAACAATGGACCAGCTCCATACTCTCCGCAGAGTTCTGGAGGGTTCATGGGAGTTTGCCCAACCAGTCTACATGTGTTTTGTGGACTTGGAGAAGGCATTCGACCGTGTCCCTCGGGGAGTCCTGTGGGGGGTGCTCCGGGAGTATGGGGTGCCGGGCTTCCTTATAAGGGCTGTTCCGTCCCTGTATAACCGGTGCCAGAGTCTGGTCCGCATGGGCGGCAATAAGTCGGTCTTGTTTCCGGTGAGGGTTGGACTCTGTCAGGGCTGCCCTTTGTCACCGATTCTGTTCATAGTTTTTATGGACAGAATTTCTAGGCGCAGCCAGGGCGTTGCGGGTGTCCGGTTTGGTGACCTCAGGATTAGGTCTCTGCTTTTTGCAGATGATGTGGTTCTGTTGGCCTCATCGGACCGTGACCTTCAGCTCTCGCTGGGACAGTTCGCAGCTGAGTGTGAAGCGGCTGGGATGAGAATCAGCACCTCCAAATCCAAGACCATGGTCCTCAGCCGGAAAAGGGTAGAATGCTCTCTCCGGGTCGGGGATGGGGTCCTTCTCCAAGTGGAGGAGTTTAAGTATCTCGGGGTCTTGTTCACGAGTGTCTGTCATGGTAAAGAAGGAGCTGAGCCAAAAGGCGAAGCTCTCGATTTACCAGTCGATCTACGTTCGTACGCTCACCTCTGGTCACGAGCTGTGGGTAGTGACCGAAAGAACGAGATCCCGAGTGCAAGCGGCCGAAATGAGTTTCCTCCGCAGGGTGGCTGGGCTCTCCCTTAGAGATAGGGTAAGGAGCTCAGTCATTCGGGAGGGACTCAGAGTAGAGCCGCTGCTCCGCCGCATTGAGAGGAGTCAGATGAGGTGGCTCGGGCATCTGATTAGGATGCCTCCTGGACGCCTCCCTGGTGAGGTGTTCCGGGCATGTCCCACTGGGAGGAGGCCCCTGGGAAGACCCATGGACACGCTGGAGGGACTATGTCTCTCGGCTGGCCTGGGAACATCTCGGGATTCCCCCAGAGGAGCTGGATGAAGTGGCCGGGGAGTGGGAAGTTTGGGTTTTCGCTGCTGAGACTGCTGCCCCCACGACCCGACCTCGGATAAGCGGGAGATAATGGATGGATGGATGGATTCTCACAGCAGTTTTAAACCCTGGGTCCGACGTGCTGTATAATGTATATCCTAAATCACAATTTTTATGACTTGCTAATCGCGTTGTTTCAAATCGTTCAGCCCTAATCCTAGACGTATATTCTTGCCTGGTACAATCCACTTAAGCTCCTCCCTTGTGGTGTAATGTATTGGTGTCCATGGTAGAAAGGTCACAGGGCTAGACATAAGCCGCGGCACCGCGGCCAATGGCCGTCGTGCCTTTCAAAATTGGCCGCACGCCTCCTCAAAATTGAAGTACCTTACGGCCAAGATTGGCCTGCCTTTAATGTTTGTCTGGTCGTATGCCCCCTTTTTACCGAAAGTAACGTTCATTACACAAAAGACTTGCGCACGACACGGTCCACTTTACCTCGTCAACAATCGATGCATCTGTACTGAACCCGAACCCAACCTTCGATACGAGAAACGAGGTCGACCCGCACATCTCGTAATTCCCAACTACTGAATGAACCGCAATGAATTCTGGTCAATTCATTGAATTCTGGTCACAATGGTGCATCATCGGGGGTTACGTTTTTTGATTGGAAAAGCCATCCGACGGTTTCCGAATAACAGATAGGTGTCCTCTTCGGTAATCATCGTGTAGTTGTCGTCTGCTGCTTATGCTGTCACCATGCCTCGCAAAGATTGAGAACGTAAAAGAAAGCAAGCTGAACTCGCGGCTACTGCCGCAAAATGTTGCAAATTATCTACTTTGTTCAGGTAAGTGTCAGATGGTGTTGTAAAAAAACATTTGCCGAGGCAGAGCAGATTTGACTCAGAGAAGTACCAAGCTCTGCTGGGAGGATATAGGACTGGTAGCGTGCAGTGTGCAAAAAACGAACGTCAAGTCAATTGTCATGTACACTAAAAGAATACGGGTGTTCTGAGCAAACAAATACAAAAATATTGACGGCTCCTTTATTGTTGGATTTTGTTTTTTGAAATAAAGCTATATATATATATCTATAAATATATATATTCTGTCTCAAATCGAAGGTCGTATTGCGTAGGTTGTCTAAACTTGGTAATTACAGTAATTGGTAATTAGTGACTCAGTATTGACCCAATTCCTTTTTGCAAAGTTTCTGCTTTTTTGAAAATAAAAAAATGCATCCTTTATGGAAATAAAATTCCTCCACAAGGCCCGAGGTGTCCTATGAAATTTCCAGATTTTGGCCTTGTGCCCAGGCTTAATGGCCTTGTGCCCTAGAAAAAATATGAATAGCCAAGGCCAAAGTGGCTGTGCCCTCCTAAATCCTTATGTCTAGCCCTGTGGTCAGTAATACACATGGTCAAAAAGCCAGCTGGGTGGAGGGGCTACACTACCTTCAAATTGCGCCTTAAAATATACCTTAATTTACTTGCTTATTCAGTCTGACTGTCATTCCACTTGGCAACACTCACATTGTCCGGCATTATATAACTTAATTTCTAATGCTTATTTCTTCACATTTTTCTTAGATTGATTTAATAATGGATAGCTACTATGTGTGTTTTCTTATTGTGTCTTAATATACTGTCAATAGTTTGCTATTATAGAATAATAATAACACCTATCGATCACTGTGGAAAAATTCTCTTTTCGTCTACCTCATCTTACTTTCCATGACACACAAATAGGTAAGAGCAAGCTTGGCAGCGAAGGGCAGCCACCTGCATTGACACCCATCGAGTTGGGGGTTAAGGGCCTTGATGAAGGGCCCACAGACATGTAACTATTCTGCTGAAGCTGGGCTCGAGCTGACAACCTGAGTACTGCGACAGATGACCTGGCTCGCACAATTCCCTTACCTAAACCTTATACAGCTGGTTTGGGATGAGTTAGATCGAAGAGTAAGAGCAGGTTACCCAGCTTGTACCCAGAACTAGTGAAAACTTTTATATATAGAGAGCATTGAAATATGATCATGTTATACAATATGAAATATAAAAAGTAATTTCCCATTTCTTTCTTCACTGGAAGCAGGTTGTAAAAAATGCACAAACTTGCAATTTTGCCAATTTATGCAAATTTTGCACAAAAAGAGCACATACAACTCCGCAATTTGCATCACAAATTGTGAGAAAAGCTGCTGCAAAAACAAGTGTTTCTGGCTGCAACAATCAAAAACACCCACAGAGACTGAAAATAGTTCCTCCTTGTAATTAAGGACAGAGTAAAACCATTTTAAGCATGATGAACTGCTCACTGGCAATTTTCTGAGGACTGAGATTCACACCAAAAAAAAATTTTAAAATACGTATTACACATACATCACAAAGACATTTTTTATGTGAATAAATTCCTAACTATTGAATTTCAGAGGAATTACCTATTTATAATTAAAAAGACTTATGAGAGAATAACAATAGAGTATGCTGACATACAATGGACATGAACGACTTGCGTTCTTACCGTTTTACATATCATAGATGGCTCAAAATGTTTGGCGCACAGTCTGTAGTGCTTGTTCAATTGATCTGAAGTTTTATCCTCCAGGTCTGCTCGCCGGCAGTTCTCCACCCACAGCTTGCATCTAATGGAGAAAAACATGCAGAGTGGAACCATTCTGTGCCATACAAACTAGATCTGCAGTTCCTTGAGCATTGTCGAAGAAGTTGATCATGACTTGACAAGCAGCACACAAATCAAAGGCAGTAAAATTGGAAGCAGGTGAAATTGTAGTTAATCTCAAGAGGCCAGGGCTTTTGTGCAAAACAGCTTCTGTGAATAGTTAAATGAATGGCTGTAATTGCAAAACTTAATACATACATATTCACTAAATGTAGCATTTGTATGATTATAAATAATGGAAATCAAGCAATTGCATAACGTCATACATTTAATAAAGGAAACTAATTTGGGAAATTTTGTTATACTTAATGCTGGATTAAACAATACTAGGCAACGTTGCAAAGGGACAGAACATTTCCAGTAAATTTCTGGAAACTTTCGATGGGAAGAAGGGTTGCAAAGAGGCAGATTTTTTTTTTAAACTTCTCATGGAAAGTCAAACTGGGGAAATATTGAACTCTGTGGAACTCCACGCGAGCTGTCAGATACCGCAAAGAAAGCAAAGTGTATGAATAATACAACATAGAATATGACTTATAAGCAGTGTGTTTTGATGCAGAAGCTTTTATGCTCACATAATTATTCACAAGGCCTTGGTTCCACAATGATATCACTATTACTGTCAGTTTATTCTGATTAATCCCTATACATACATTCCATGGACACCTTCCATCTTCTTTCTTTGAATTTTGCAATCATGAACAATACCAAAAGGGCTAATGAATACAATGAACAATGTACCTTCTGAACACTACTGTATCTACTATACAATATGCAAAGAACTTCCATGTAAAAGCCACTTGTATTACACAGGTGTCCAGTAGACAAGTGTGAATTAAAGATAATACGAACTTTACTCATTTATTGATACAAACAGCTGGGCACAAAAAAGCAGGAAAAGTAGATGCTGCATTTTTGAATTGGCTTGACGATATGACTGCAGACGAACAATGTCCTTAAAAGGGCTATAATAAACACAATATTGCTAGTATTGAACGTGTATCTCAACATCCAGTTACAAAACTTTCGTATATCCATTAGTAGCATGGAACAACTTCCCATACGAAGCCTGGGTTTACGAACTCCATTACAATACAAATTGTCCCACAGCACAATTCTATTAGCGCTTACCATCATCTAGCCTCTGCGGCAGACCTCGTCCCTAACGTAAAAGGGTATCTAGTATGACACTTCCAATTTATGGTCTAAATTTCAAGCAACGAGTATTAAACGAAAGGACGAAAATGCAGTGCTTAACCTACTTTCTCATTAATGTTTGTTACTAACACGGTGTGTTAGTAACAAAACTGCAATACACGTCCAACGAGCAAAGAAATAACTGATGTTTACGTTTTCTGCGCAGTACCTTCACTTACATTCAGTGTGAGGCGGTAGTGTTCGCAATAAAATACTGGACTCGAAGTATATTTAGAAAGAAAGCTGGGTGCTGTTCCGTGTTTTTAAAGGGTTTTCTCCCAGGTTAAACATAAAAGATGTTAAAAGACCGAACGTGCATTCTAACAGTAACTTGCTTGACGTGAATTTGCTAGGCTAAATTGTAACTGATTACTGCAGGGCGAAGAGCAAGCATACAAACATTATCGACTCGTGTCGCCTTCAAAGGCTAGTTAGCAATCTATTTCCAAACACCTGGCTTACTCTTACATTTCCTTGAAAGAAAGTAAGCTCTTGCCAGAAGTACAAGAGCATTGTTTAATTTGAAAACGCATGATTTATACTAGTCCTTTTAGCCACATACACCACTATTTCTATGTAGTTTATTGATTATGAACTACTATGTCCTGGTAAAATTTATCGTACCTTTGAGGGTCCCTCGGAAACCTAAAAAATGCTAGGTCCGATTGGGTGCTTTTTCTGGTACAATTTGGAGCCGCACAAAAATTTGGCATTATGTTGCGAAAAAAAAGTTCTTCAGGAGAGCTTCTGAGTAAATGAGCCACAAAAAGAAAAACTAGTTAAACTGAAACTTTAAATAAAAGGTATTCTTTAAAAAATATTTGAACAGCAGAAAACTAAAACGAAAAGCGCGCAACACCGCTGTCTGTGGCCTGGAGGATTCAGCAAGAGACAGACGCTTCCGTCCCACAATGCACCACTGCGCCAAAGACTATTGGCTGAGGTACGTCTTCCCACCCTTCATGAATGCTCCTGAAACGGAAACCTATGGGTTTAAATGTGAATAAAGTTTTTGCATCTATGCAATATGCAAAACATTTTCAAAAAAATAATGGACCGGACGTACTGTTGAAAATACTTGGTTTTAGAAAATACCGAAAAGTATCTGTCAAAAAGAGTGGGCTCGTCCGGGATTTGAACCCGGGACCTCTCGCACCCGAAGCGAGAATCATACCCCTAGACCAACGAGCCATGGTATACAAATGCTGCCAAATGTTCCTTTGTATGCTTCACGAAATGGTTACTTCATACATTTTCTTGCTCATTCGATACTTTTGTGTAATTTATTGTACATATTTACACGTTAACGATTAACAACTAGTTATCTAGATCAGTTTTGTAACCTAATTTGAACCACCTAGCTAGGTGATTAATAATTTTACAGCTGAATCAGTGGCGACTATTGAACGAAGCAAACTCTAGGCTGACCCCGCCCCCCCGGAATAATTTCAGATCTAGCTATATATATTAATCATTACTATAAGTATTATAATATTCACTGCGCTCTACTAAACGTGGTCCATAGATTGCTAATTGTCCTCCGCGGAATAAATATGATTTTTGGGACCGAACGTGACAAACGCTCTGTTGTGCGCAGAAACTAGTTTTCTATGGCATGCATGAGACCGTTTTTCCGCCACGTCAAAAGAAGTACAAGCGCATCGCATCTCATGGTTCGGTGAACGTGAGCCCGAAGTTCAAATTTGTTGAACACTGGCGTGCCGCGGCCTGATGTATTGTTGGCGCAGACAATAGGAAGTTCGTGGAAGAAAATGGAGAAGACCGTCTTGGCGATATGACTGAATCGCGATTTTTCCCAGTAACATAATAATAATAATAATAATGTTTCAGTTTTCGAGTATTGAGCGGCGTCGTTTGCGACCCCTCTCTGCCGTGTCCAAGGCCGACCCCTAGGATGAAAATTACGTGACAATCGCTACCTGCCGTGTATAAACTAGCCTTAAGATGATAACTCAGTTCCAATTTTTCTGCCCTCTGTCACTGCAGCTACAATTTTGATAAAGCGTACATTTTTAGGTCTAGATTTTCATCCATGTAATGTTTTCATTAAATTTAAGATCCATCAACGATCAAATAGACAGGGGCGGGTTTAGAAGGTTGACACTTGCCCCCCCAGTGCCGCCTTAACGGCATTGGTGTAGAATACTGCCCAGGATCATTTGATCAGAGTGCTGTCAATCATTCCTTGGCAACCTGACAATACCGGTGATTGGATCTGAGGGCTATCTATCTATCAGACGCCACTCGACTGCAGACGGCATCTCAGTTATGCAGTTGAAAATATGTGAACTGGGTTGTTGACCTTTTTTCTGTATTTAAAAATATTATGCGTAAAGGCGACTCTCACATGTATAATGGCTTCTACAGGCCTGGCCAAAAGTTTTGAGAATGACACAAATATAAATTTTCACAAAGTCTGCTGCCTCAGTTTTTATGATGACAATTTGCATATACTCCAGAATGTTATGAAGAGTGATCAGATGAATTAATTGCAAAGTCCCTCTTTGCCATGAAAATGAACTTAATCCCAAAAAACCCATTTCCACTGCATTTCAGCCCTGCCACAAAAGGACCTGCTGACATACACTCACCTAAAGGATTATTAGGAACACCATACTAATACGGTGTTTGAACCCCTTTCGCCTTCAGAACTGCCTTAGTTCTACTTGGCATTGATTCAACAAGGTGCTGAAAGCATTCTTTAGAAATGTTGGCCCATATTGATAGGATAGCATCTTGCAGTTCATGGAG